GCGCTGTTCGCCACTGATCCAGTAAATTTGCGAGCACGCAACCATATACCCAGAACATTCGTAAAATAAAAACAAATATGAAGGATGAGGTTGACGTCGCGGAGTTAAGTGAATGTTTTGTTATTTTATCCGACACAATAAAGAAAAAAGAAGAGAAAGGAATCGATGCCAATTTCCTGCCAAGGATATTCTTGTTTTATGATGTAATAGAACTGACGTTTCGCTCTCTTAAGATATAATGCTGATTATTTAAATTCAAGAGAAGCAAAACGTTTTTCTGGTTCCACTTCATGCAAAATCCCAAAAACTCGCTATAATCTGTACAGTGCTGTATGGTACAAATTCCCCGTCCAGACTGAACACGTATTGCGCATTGCCTCCCTTTGATGTATCGCCAACAACCGGATCGGGGCGAGGCCGTACGAGGCAATTTGCCGCGCCTCGGAAGCCCGTCCACATCTGCATGCTCATGTGTCCTCGGCTTGCCTCATACGCGTACGTGCTCAGATCTGTACCCGCCTTAACGGATACGCATGTCGGCGAGCGCATCCGAAAACTATAACGTTGCCACTACATGCTGCCCTTAAACATCCACAATTAAGGACAGGCACAATCCTTAATAAAGTCAGTTTTAGAACATAAACATCTACGCATGCTTAGATGTCAAAATAAGAGCGGCACTAATAGTGACTGACCTTAAGTAAACTTGCAATAACTTTCTTATTAAGGACAGACACAATCTTTATTAAAGTTAATGATCTGCGCATACTCAGATGTCAAAATAAGAGCGGCACTAATAGTGACTGACCTTAAGTAAACTTGCAATAACTCTCTACTATTTTGAAGGTTGGGCCAAAACTTCAGGATGATTTCTTTGACGTGCGCTAGTTCAGTGTGATGTCATTTTGGTTCCACTGACATTTAATTCTAACCAAACTTTTAACAAAAACATCAATAAATTTGACATATACGTTTTTACTGTTTTTAGTTTATTTCTAAATATTGTTTACAGGTCATAAAAAATAGTTTAAAGGAATGTAATTGGTAACTAAACGACTGTATATTTGACGCATGTTATCTACTTACTTTAGGAATATGTTTATAAAAGTGAAAACACGATATAATTTAGGTAAACAAAACGAACGAAACGCATTCAAAAAATCTACTGTCTCTTTAATTGTCAGTGGAACCATAATTACATCATCGCTGAACTATAGTCTATTTTTATGTATGAGAGAGTAATAAAACAGCATTTCTAATGCAAAACTTAGTACGGTCATTTTAAATATTTTTACAGAATAATCTAAATATTTTCTAAAATTGTAATACATGTACCTGAGCTATTACAAGTTTTGGGTCTTTTATTGGTCCTTTATAAACATAAGCTGTACAGAACAATAGAAAAAGGTTTGGACAGGCCAAAAGCCCTATGTATTAAAGATTACATAACCGTATCTTAAGATTATTTTCAATAAGTACCTATTTGCCAATTTTGTTTTATTTTAATTCCAAGAATTTCTTACAGTAGTCGAATTATAAGTAGATAAATACCTTCCCAACAAATTTCACCGAAAATGCTATTATAGGTTTTTCATTTAGTAAGGAGGTCCAAGTTGTGTATTCTTGACAGTTTACAGTTCATCAAATTTCTAGAGGTGTTCGACGCCCAGACAGAGACGCGCTACGTGTGACTAAGATAGCTATTGTACAGTCTGCTAAACAAGTTATTTTAAATAGTTTTTAATATTTTTAGGTAATTAAATTTTAAAAGTGTGGAATACTTTAGGGATTAAATTGGTCTAATTGGACTTTCTTAGAACGTTTTTAAAAGCAGCTAAAGATAGTATGTAGAATTGAAAATAATTATTATGCCATAAAAGGTGTTTTGGAATTCCTTCAACCTTTTGAAATTGAGTCAGAAAATATAAATTTTATAGGATAGCGGAAAATACCTATAATTTTTTTGTAGACCTTTGTAAATCGTGGAAATAGTTTATATTTTATTTCTACCTTATTAAGGAAAATGGTACCTATTATTAATAACGGTTGTTTCTGAAACATTACTAAAATTTTCAAAATTTTGTTTTTCTACAAAATAATAAACTATACTATTTAGAAAAAATTTTATTTCTCTTATAATTTTATAAAAAATAACAGGGGAATATTTACATTTCTTGATCTATTAAACAAAACGATAAATTATCTCGACGAATGACACCATGTTCTAGTACGGAAGCTAGCTTTACATTTTTGTTGGTGGTTTCATGGGTTTCATATCAATTTTTTGTAATTGTAGTTTACACGTACATATACCTCTTAACACTTGTTTGCTTTATTAAAAAAGTGTGTTGTTGTGATTTACGTCGAAATAAGTCAAAAACAACTTGAAACCCCATATAAAATCAAAAAGGAGAAACGGAAAAAAATTGAGCCTGTAAATGAACACAACTCAGAAACAAAAATAGCTATCTAATAATAAAAAAATAAAATTTGATTCTTCTGCAGCTTCATCTATATCATTAACTGTTTTTGGTTTTTTAATGGTTTTTCTTGGTGATGAAAATTCCGATATCTCACGGTTATCGATTCTTTTTTTCTCTCCAGAAATGCGGACGACAGTGTTTTTAGATACTCCTGTGGCTGCAGCAACACGATCATTTACATTTTTAAATGGTATTGAAGGTGAATTAAAGTTTCCTTCTCTTCTCATAAACTCTATAACATTGGCTATTATTTCGCGAGATTGACTGTTAATCGCGCGGCCTCTTAATTTGCTATTAAACTCCATACTTAGGTTCTATTAAACTGTAATGAGCAAAAAACACAAACGAAAATAAAAGAAATGTTTTAGCGAAATTTACATCTAACATTTACGTCTGAATGAAATAGTGAAATACTTGATGCGCAGAGTGTACTTTCATTGCGTAAATCCGTCGGGATACCTGTCAGTAGTGCTTTCTCTGTCTAGCCGTCGAAAGCCTCTAGAAATTTGATGAACTGTACTAAATGTCGTTTAGTTGCAACTTGGAAGGTGCAGTGTGAATTCTAGTGTGATCATGGAAAATTTGGAAGGGCCGCGTAAACGACAAAAAATCGGTCCTTTAACAGTTAATGAAAAAACATTAATATTTAATTGTTTTAAATCATTTACAGACAAACATTTATGTAAAAGTGTTAATGACACAGTGGAATTAGTTAGTAGTACGCTTGGTGTTGGGATATCTACGATTTACAGAGTTGTTAAAGAAGAGAAATGTGGCGAGTTTCAAACAGCACGTAAAGCTCCAGGAAAACCAAAATTTCAATTAGAAAATCTTTTGAAAGAAAGACTTCGAAGGAAAGTGCATGCGTTCTTCTTTAGAAAAGAATTTCCGACAGTAGACAAAGTTCTTGCCACGGTTCGAGATGATAAGGATTACCCTGAAATGAGTCGAAGCACACTATGGAAACTTTTCTATGGAAAAAGCATTCCAGAAAGTCTATTTTAATAGAAAGAAGCGATATTGTAGTATGGAGAAGAAATTACCTAAGGACTATAAAAGAAATGAGAAACCAAAGAAGAAATATATTTTATTTAGATGAAACATGGATCAACGAGGGACATAAACCAAATAAATTTTGGCAAGATGAAACTGTTACAAGTCGAAGACAGCCTTTTTTAAATACTTTATCTACTGGTTTAAATCCACCATCAGGAAAGGGGCGCAAACTAATAGTACACATCGGTAATTCAAACGGTTTTGTTAAAGGTGGTTTATTGACTTTTGAATCTACTCGTACCGGTGACTACCATGAGAACATGAATGCTGATGTCTTTAAAGAGTGGTTCGAACAAATTATAGATCTTCTTCCTCAGAACTGTATAATAGTAATGGATAATGCAAGTTATCACTAGAGACTTATAGAAAAAATGCCCACAACCAAGTGGTTAAAAAAAGATTTACAGAATTGGCTAAATTCAAAGAATATTAAGTTCCATCCCGGTTCTGCGAGAAAAGAACTGTATCATTTGTGTTCCCTTCATAAAAAGAAATTCAAAAAATATGAAATTGATGAAATTGCAAAAAATCGTGGGATGACGGTAAACCCGATTGAACTGATATGAACACAGATAAAGGGAGAAGTTTCAAGAAAAAATAATTCTTTTAAAATGAGTTGTTTTTGGAGGCTGTAAATAATGTGAAGCCTGAAAACTGGAAAAAGGCAGTAAATCATACGATTAAAGAAGAAGAGAAAATGTGGAAGTTGGACAATATTACTGATGAAATGATCGAGCCACTCATTGTAAATATTGGTTGCAACAGTTCATCTTCTGATTTCGATTCTGATTTGGATTTGTAGGTAAGAAGTAGTTTTTATATTAAAATTATTATTTATGAACGTAACGTTGTTTAAAAGTCAAAGTTTAAACCCTTATACCTACATAACCCGTTTGACACAATGTTCTTAACATACCTTGTGGAAAAATAAAACATTTTAGAAAAAATTGCACTTTTTTACCTTCAGCTGTTTAGAAGTTATAAGCAGGTTAATTAGGTGAAAATATAAGTGTATATTCGAGGATTAACTTCAAAAAATATTTTAATTGTCTACTAAAAGAAGTCTATGGATTACGAACGCTTTATTATTTTAATACTCTCTCATACATAAAAATAGACTATAACTGGGACTACTTACACTAGCACGAGAATTACTTGATTAATAAAATTATTTATTTTGACAGCTGTCAACTCTTATCTCTTAAAATAAGCGTGAAATATAGAGCAACAACAGTACCTAGACAAAGTTCTAGGTGTACTGATTTTTAGCGGATGTCATGAACAATTTTTAATTTTATTTTTAAATAATAAATCTACCAAGTTTGGTTTTTCTCATTCAAAACAATATAGATTTTCATCAGGCAAATGCCAAACTAATCAAGAAATTAATTTTTTGTTTAAAACCACCAAATAAATTGATAATAACCTTTCATTCTTTATAAATAGTAGAAATAAACTTACGTTCACATATGAAGGGCGCATCGTGTTTGGAGATCTTCCATGCTTTTTGTTCGAAACCTGTACAACAAGTATTACATTTTGCTCCGCATGTGTTATGTCTGCAATTACATAACAAAACTTTGTTGTCGCGTGGATCGGGAATGTCGCATGCTTCTGCATGTCCGTTGCACATACAACGGCCTCCAATACTTATTTCTTTAATTGAGTAGAAGTACTAAAATTGAATATTTAAAATAATAATATTAAATATTATTTATCTGGTAAAAATTTATATTACATTTCATAATTATTAATATTAGGTACTTACTCTTCTTGTAACAGTTGGATCCTGTCGAGCCACTGACATTAAATGTCCAAGTAGATTTTTGGTTCT